ATCCTTCAGTTTGTTATGTTTTCTTGTCTTAAATTTCTTTAGAGATTGTTAGATTTTTCAAATTTCTGATGTTCATGGTTCAAAACGTAGATCTATGGGAATCCTGAGTGATATATTACCAGCATCTACCCTAATGAAAGGGATAAGTACAACGCCATACATTAGGTAAACAAAAATAATAGCATACATTAGGTACACAGAAATATTTCTTTAATATACCTTTATAATTTACGAAAATATAACATAAATTGTACGGTTGAAGCTAATTTGCAATGCCCCTGAATTCTGAATTTATACGTTTTGGCTTATGTATCATTGATTACCAATATTTCCTTGATAAGCTGTATTTTGCAACCGATTTTGTTCATAGCACACGCCTTCCTGACGCTTCGGCCACCTAAGAAAAGATAAGAACCCAATAACCAAGAAGCCTCAGACAACAAATATGACTTCCGACAACAAAAAGGAAGCTTATGAAAGTTAAATAACCTAAAAATATTGTGCGGTGGCTCAAATAGCATGTGGCGGAAGCGACAAGGTTCTTAAGACCTGAATATCCACGTGCATCCAGATATGAGTGAGGGAAAATCAAAGATAACAGCGTTATTTTTGGAATTCTGTTGATTGCGGACTTAAAGGCTTTTTTGTTGCGTTAGAAAACATGATATTTTGGCAATTGCCAGTTGCCACGTTTTACCGCTTACCAGTAAACTGCCAGTGCCAGTGGCAACTGCCAGTGGCAGGTGCCACTGCCACCTTTTACACCCTGCCCCAACCGGATGTTGCGCGCATAAACGGTTTTCACGATAAATTATACAATTCACTTGGCCATGAAATATCATAATACGATGCAAGAAAGTTTTAAAGACTGCGTGAAAGCGAAAGTCTTTACAAGCACACGAATTTACTACCGTGTACCGGCACAAGACAGTAATAGTCTGCATGCCGGACGCACATTTCTACACTCAAACAATAAGTTTCCTGATTTCGGGCACACCTGATAACATTTTGGTAACGTTTTCCATTCAGCAGCGATAATTTTAACCAGAAGTATTAACATGAGTAATTTTCTTATTTTTTCGTCTTGGTGACACATTGTCAACTCTGGTGGGAGTTTCGGTGTAAATCGGAAAGGTCATGGTTAGATATGAAAATCACGATTCCACGTGTTGAATTGTCATCTTACCGTGTTTGCCAAGGGGGTAGGGGTGGAAGACAGGAGAAGGAGATTGAGAGCAGAGAATTTTGAGTAACAATCCTACTGGTCAGGTCGCAAATTTCGAAAACCTAGAAGGCAACATATATGGGCGAAACTACGGTGGACGTTCTTCTCAGCCGACGGATTGATGTGCTCGTTTAGAGTCTTGCTAAGACGACAGTTTCAAAATTGTACGTTTTAGTAAAAAGTCAACGGTTATAATTTACTTGCTTTTATTTTGCCGCAGGCGTTACACCGCACAGCGAGTAGTGTGATTTTTACGTACCAGGCACATTCTGATGGAGCGGCTAAAGTTTACAACAGAATCTTTGGAAGAATATCTGCATGGTGGCAGTGCTCACAGTTAGCAATTCGAGCACTGGTAGAAAGGCATCGGTACCAAAAACACACACAACCGCTGGCATAAGCAGTCAGTACAAAAGGCTTCTGTGCCCCTCCCCTTTTATGATACGAGTGTGGCGGTGAACGACGGCCGGACACCAACAGTTACAGAAGGTGTGAGTACTCGTATATGCGGACACCTCGCAAGCGTGTATTTGATAGCAAAGTCAACCGCGCGTATGTGCATTTACTGGTGGTGACCGGCGTACGGGCATCACGTTTTCCATAATCGCTGAACATAGAAGGCCTTCGCTACGCTTCGGTCGATTAATTCTTATACAGTATATTATGAATATTTAAATGTGCATTTTACACGTACTGTGATGTTTGGTGCATTTGCTGTCAATAGAAAGTGTTGGCTGCATGTAACAACCTTGCGTTTTTAGAACATGCAAAAGCTTTGATTGCTTAATGCGTTCGGATGCCATACAGCAGTGCGTAATATTGTCACGCAGCGCAAAGAATATTACGGAAATTCTGAGTTCATATACATACTTGCGAATTCCATCACAAAGAATAGTAAGAAAGTCATCTGTATATAGCATGCAGTTCGGATCTGGAAATGTCAGGAATTCGTTTAGCAAAAGTTTATCGTTGTTGCCGATGACCAGCCAGTTAAGTTTCACACCCAAGGGCTTCAGCAGATAGGTACTACGCAGGCGTTCTTCCCAGTTACCGGTCAGGTACAGCGTTTTGGTATTAAGACCAACTATTTGCCACCGGATGGTATTATTCCTTCTATTCATTACGCTGATATTTCCCGGCACATCATGCTGAAGAATTGCTGCTTTGATAGCAATCTGTCGATATGCTTCCAAGATTTGGTGTACACAGATGCCGGTCGCGCAACGCGGAATGTGGTTTCCAAACGTTCATTGTTAAGATGCTACAACGACCCATTCTCTATCAGAATATCTAACTGGCGTTACAGTCATACGGGAGTATCGCCAAGTACGTTTGAAACTGCTTTCCAGGTGGCCCTACAAAATTTTTGTCCAGAGTTAGACAAAGTTAAGGCAAGAATCTTAATTCGCTGGCTGACGGACGAAGATATGGTTTTAGAAAAAGGCATTTGGCCGTTTATTGTGCTGACGTATGAGCTGTGAGTTGCACCAGAAGCATTAACGCTAGTGCAGTCAGCAATAAAAAGATTTACTCTGCAGTTGGAACGAAGAGATTCCGAAGCGCGTGGAAGATGTCAGAAGAGATGTTTCCGTCAAGTTTTCCGCGAATAGTTTGGTCATGCAAACACTGGCCTTGCTCTTGCCGTGCACTGCCGACTGATTTTCTGGGATGCTTTATGAGCGCGACTACTGGGGGTGTCACAACGGAATCTTATTGAACCCTGCTAAAAATCCTGTCAAAAAAACCAGTTTTGTTGTTGTTTGTGCGGGCTGTGAACAGATATCTTTCTGGTAGCACTGACGGTTTATTGCGCAAATCCACAAATCCCCTGTCCAGGTCTCCATGATTGCATGGTTTGTTTGGCAATATACCTCTAATTTGTTGTGCCTCTAACTTAGCAGTGCTAACTTTGCTAACTTTTTGCGTTGCTCTTATACTTGCTACTCGCTCTATCTGTGCTAAGTTGTTTGGTTTTGTGTGCTGTCCACTGCGGAAAAGGATCACCGCCCGTGGCAAGAAAACAATCAGCTTGTGACGCTCAACTTACGTTAGTGGATCATAATACAAATGAAGCTAATACTAATATGATGGTACATCATAATTCTATTTTTGCAGGTATCGGCTGGAAATTGTGCGCTTAATACTTTACATAGGTACCACCGTACCGGTATGCGGTATCTGAATGAAATTCTAAAAGCTCCGCGGGAATCCATCCGCATCCAAGAGTACAAGCTTTTCCGGTAATTTCTGACGAATCAATACAGCGAATTACATAAATTTGCGTGTTACGCCAAACTTCACACTACGGCGCGCCACGCCACACTGTTTAAACACGTAACTTGCATTTGGCTGGCAGGTGGCTTGGTACACACCATTCAACTTTATGAGCAGAATAGTAACTGCCTGGCGGAAGGTGGCTAGAAAATGGTCGGTGCTGTAAGCGACAATCTGACTGCGAAGCGCATTTAGGAAATTTGATAAACGTAGTGAAGTGTCCACCGTTATAAGCGATATCTTATAAGCTGTACCTTTACGTAGGAAATTACCGTACAAGCTCGTACTTCTTTTATAGGCATCCATCCATGTTACACCTTGCAGTTTATGGCAGTTTTCTATCAATATTTTTAATCGAGCATATCGTCAGGGGCGGTTTACTTCATTTGCCCGGCCTTTTCCTTTTCAGTTTGCCTTTTCGGTTTTACCTTTACCGCAGTGATTACCTTTTGCGTCTCAGTTTACCGTTGAAACACATCGTTGCCGTTAATTAGCTTTAAAACTATGTAACTAAATTACGGTCGGCAATTTTCCGTATCAAAAACTAAATAAAACGTTTTTTTTGCTATTTGGCACATTAAATTTAAGCGCGCATACTGCATACATGTATAAAATTTTAAACAGTTTTATTATCCCTATCCTAACCTCACGAAAAAAGATGCTATCATCGCAAAAGGATTTTCATTGGTGTGTACAAAATGCTAATACAGTTCATCTGTATCAATGAGCAAGCAATGAGTTACAGGATGTTGCATTGCCCCTTATTTCGTTATTGCTGTTTCGGCCGGATCATCACTTGTCAGTACGCTTGGATTAACTTTTCACCGAATAGCTATGTCAAAAACCAAAGCTAAAAGTACATCCTTTTCACATACCTGAAGCTCCATTTGGAAGTTAACTACATATCACATCAGACGTTCCCTCTGACGCTCAGCGTTAGTTTATTCTTAAATTTAAGTGGTCAAGATTCAAGCGTACAAGTTTGACAGCTTTAGAAATGCGCGCCGCTTCCGTCAATTAATCTGACATGCAGATAGATTCCCCTTTTTGCTTTATTTATACCACCGTCATGGCCATGAACAAGGCAATTTGAAAAAAACCGCTGGCAGTACTATTAACTTTTCACAGTGCGCCATAGTAAAATTTCAGCGAAAGGACACAAATTTGCATATCTGTATACAGGGCCATAAAGACGCCGTTCATATACTCTGTACTAGTACCTTATGAACTTATAAAATGCTTTAGATACTCGTAATTATTTTATTTGTACATACGTAGAAACCTGAACTCAAACGTTTGGGTTTGGACCAAACACAGTGCGTCCCGCCACGCCACCGCGTAGGTGACAGTGCTTGGTCATATCCTTGGTGTACTTATTTGGCCTCTACAAATTACGTATTTAAGATCCCAGTTAACTGCCGCAAAACGGTTTTATTGGCCATACTGGTTTTTATGGTCAGACACGTTAAGTTCCGTCAGTGTAGCAGTTATACGAGCGAAAAGTCCTTGAGTACCGTACAATAGTAGATGCATTATAATCAAGCGGGCTCGCTTCGCTCGCCCGCGTTTCTAATTCAAGACATACTGAAGGTTTTTAACGTTAACTTACTGTTATTACTGCTACTGTACTAAAGACTACAGTGTACTACCCGGATGACACGTACATTTTTGCCACGGTATAAATAGTAAGTATACTACGTGACAGTAGCGCCGTAGCCAGTACTTCTTTATTCAAGAATATGACTGTCATATGGGAGGGCAGCCTTTATTTAAACGTTTGACCTTTGGATTGACTGCCGACAGAAGTCCTTCCTGGCGAACTGGCTTCAGCCGCGTCACCACAGCTGCCACTGTGTTACCGTGTAGATTCGTTTTGAATATACGGCAATAGCAAAGCAAGTGTCTGCATAATCAAACTCTTTGGAATAGCCCTATTTGATATGTCCGATATGATACCATCAAGGCTGTTTGGTGGTTCCTCGTCCCATCTGCAATGGCATAATTATGTAGTTAATTTCACCCTTCAACCTATTGCATTCATTCTAGTCTGCTCACAGCGCATAGGACAGTTGAACAAACGGCGAAATGCATTTTTTCAGTTCCAAATCCTCGTCTGTGAGAGACTGAAGCCAGTGGATTAGAGTGTTCCCTTTACTGCACTCCAGAATCGGACAAAACTCTGTCAGGGCTAACCGAAAAGCTGCAGCAAATTTGCGGTTATCTAGATCTGTAAAATCATACTGCCAACACGGAATTCTGATATAAAAGGGGTCGTAACAACATCCGAGGTGACTGCGTGATTCAGGACGAATCATGTAATCGTTCTGTGTTAGCAGCATTCCCGCGAAACACATCGAGAGTCTGCTGTTGAAGCTGCAATTCCTTAAAACGAGGCGTTGGCAAATGGGAGCATAATCAGGATAATCTGGCATCAACAAAAAATTTATTTGCGTATGCATTAGATCCTGCGTGCGCAGCATCGGGAACGGTTTCGGAAATACCAAGAAATCATTGAACTTTAAAACTGAATTGTCTGAAAGGATCAGCCAGCTCAATTTAACCGATATGACCTTTAGAATATTCACTAAGGTTGCTAGAAGTTTCTCCCAGTTGCCCGTCAAATACAATAGCTTTGCGTTTCTGGTTACAGCATTCGCAAGGATTTCTGCCAGTATAAATCTGCTTGAAAAGTAGTTGGTATAATAGCCCATCAACCCCAGGCGTTCTGCGACATGTTTATGTTGACGAGGCAGTATTATGCACTGCCTAAGTGCATACGAAGACAGCAGTTGATCGAACCGATGGGATGTTCTGAAAAATCAATAATCATGACATGCTGCTATGCGCAAACGGGCTTATGTCGCCGAAATTGGAATTTTGTACCCCGTTATTTGGAATTTTGTACCCAAAATAATTTTCAGTCGTCGGTTTGCATTATACTGGCTGGTGTGACAATGTCACAGTTGCTGCAAATCGGCAACTCTCCCTCGGCTTTATTCTTAACATTCGCAATGCCTATCATTGGCCAAAGAACGTACTTACGTACCTGCGAAGCTGATGCTGGTCATAAATATCCAAATAAGAAAATACATTTAGGTGTAGCTCCATGTAAATATCGCCCAAACAGAATTCGCAAGGGTCGTCAAAATCTGAAAAACAGCAAAATCCTAGAAGTTCAGAATCAATATTTTCGACTGCGTACAGTACGCGGAAACATTTTTGCGCACCGGAAATTGGTGTCGCTGCGTGGATTACCCGTTTAACAAACCCAGAAATTAAATGTGGAGAAAGCGATTACAGTACCTTGCTGGCAGACAATAATGGAAAACAAGTTTTCCAAAATATGAGGAACAACGATTTCGGGTTTCTTGGCAAGTATTTTTTCAAACCTCTCAACCGCATCTTCAAAGACTTGGACTGTGTCATCAATTGTGATATAGTTATTGTACCGTTCTTTTACTAACATGGCAACGCAGTTATCCACGACACCGAGAAACATAATTGATCTGCAATTGCCATTCACGAACACTCTGGGAAACAGTGGCATCCTTTGTACGGCCTCCAGCGTAGTAATAATACTAGACGGGCGCAAGCTTAAAGGTGCAATAGGGATTCTGATATAATTAAATGACGACAGTGTGACATAAGACCCGACATTTGCACGACGACGAACACGGTTGAAGCCAGCACATTTACCATCAAGCACGCAACAGCGCTGGACACGATTCCCCGGAAAATAAACATCGGCGGTTACAAACAAATAATCACCGTCATACACGCCGCTGATAACGCGTGCTGGTTGCCACGATTCGGGCTGATGCTCATCCGTACTAATAAGGACGTCGATGTCCTCCTTAAACGTTCCCTGACTAAATGTTTCCCAGTCGCTGTAATCTGGTATGCGCAGGTTATCCATGAGTACCACCTGCGCTTGTTCCTGTGACCCTAGTCGCACCATGTATTGACTATTCTTAACGCCGCAAAGATACCCACGATACGTCGAACCGTCTTTTAGGACATCAACAGCAAAACGCTCGTAAGAGCGAGGAACAAGCGGAGTTTTGCGAATTCGCGATAACACAACGCTTTCCATCGTTTCTTCCTCAGTAACTTATCCTCAGTTTTGTAAAAGAGGGATCACAAAAATTTTTCGCGAATTATCAAGAGCGTCTTTTTAATAAATAACACTACTGAGTGCTGGATCTGTCCGGAGGCAACCATAATTTACGGAGTCTGTAAAGCATAAACGTAGCACGTAGTAACTTATTTCGAGGTAAACGAGGTGTTTTTAAACGATTGCTAAAACTGCCAGAATAAGTTATAATGATGGCTATATCGGTAACTTATTTCAATTTCTGCATGAAAACTGAACTGCAGTCACAACTATTACTATTGCAGTGGAAGAGGCTGTCATCCTGTGAATGCTCTGCAGTCATTGCTGATCGATACACATACTACTATGGGTAAAGCGCGGTATCGATTGATTACAGTATTATACAAGTTGAAGTAAAGCAAGCTCATGCCATGTTGCCGTCCTGCAACTCACTTTTCTGTTCCTCCGCCTATGTAATCCAACACATGGCATACTGCATGCTACACGCTGCACTTTAATGAATGCATGTAAACGCGATTTTGCAACGCTCATTACCGCAACACTTTTAGAAAAGGCCCATGGTTTCATAAAATGTTACTAATCAGGGTCAGTTTGGCTGTCATGACGTTCCGGCGAAATTACCAAAACCGGCTACAAACGCTCATGATCTAATTTTTATTGAATTGCTTAAATTTCATAGTTTTTGCATAACTTATACTTTTACTAGTGGTAATAAATTTGCTTGAAATGCTGTTACAATGTATTCACTGAACAGTGCTTACAAAGCTAGATCGACTAGAAACTACATCGTATTGATATGAATTATTCTGGTAGAAGTTCAGTGGTGGGTTTGCAATTTACGTACAAGATGCACTGGACATGAATTCATACCATCTCAAGTTAATTATGCTCAAAGCTGCTACAGATGACCCTGTTTTCCTAAATTATCAACGCTTTTTAGAGAGTATGATGGATGTATTTATCGACTGTAATTAAAGATTATGTAATGAAAGCCATATAAAAGCCATAAAAGATGAATAAAAGATGTGAAGTACATACGTACATACGGTACTTGCAAGTTGCAGGTACATGTTCAGAATTATTGGTTGCGATTATTCTGTGCGTCTTCGTCGCGCGGGTATACTGCACAGTGCGCATCCATTTGTGCGTCGGCTGCGCTAGGTGATTCGCCGTCACTGGCCAGTGGCTATTATGTAGTAGCGAAGGTTCAGAGCCTCTATGTTCATAAACCTGGAATACAAAGCCTGCAAGTATAGTACGGTAATAATTACAGCTGCTCGGTATGACAAGCGCAATGCCGGCATGGACAAACTGCTTCTGCTTGCCTGGCAGTAGGTAGTGCAGTTTCATGGAGGGCTACAGTAGTCTGACGTGTTAGGATTTCTAACACGTTTAAAGCTCTTACGGGAAATATGAATCAGCTCATGTGGGAAATACTTTGGTATGTCGCCAGGAAAGTTACTGCCATCTACTGGAATGGTGAGCGAGTGAACAAATGACTTGGCGTTAACCGATCCGTCAAAGACGAAATCTGGAAATTGCATTAAATATTGCCCAGAAACACGACTGTATCCGGTGACACCATGCATCTGCCGTCCCAGAAGGAGATCCACCGTAAGCCCTTAACTGAGACCGTCAATATTTCCTTCCAAGTAGGTTTTAAAAAATAATTTTCGATATGACCGGCAAAAATGTCCCAACCAAAATTTTTGCCATGTTCTGAGAGCACACGGAATATTCATCTATCTTGGAGGCCTCACCGGTACTTGATTTTACTTTAAATGTGTTACTACCAGCGATTCGCAAAGATCCTGTTAAAATATATTGGATAATGTACTGACTACACGTATCCTATAACGAACCAACACACTTCCCGTCGTATTGTTCATTAGACTGATACACGATGTTCAAGTAATACATGTTACTGACAGGGCTTTAAGTACCACACAGGGTACGGTAAACACACTCACTGACACAGGACTTAGCCCGTATGTATCATCGGTTAGGGATCAGTGTACTGGGTGCATATGATCAGATATTAGGTTACACATACACAATGAGTAATCATAATATAAATCCTAACACTCCCCTTCACCCAGTGCACCTTTTTAAACCACACGCGGTCCACTGGCTTCCGTTCCGTCCTCGGACTTGACCCTTGATCCACCGGCATTCCAGCTCACTTCCACTGCTGGGTCACTCTCCGTTGGTACCGGCTTCCACTCGTTGTCTAGCGTACGATCACCATCGGTCGTATCCACTTCGAACTTTAGCGGCAACTCGGTATTCTGTACGGTAAACGCCGTGTACGCGTCATCGTCCACTGTCTGCGCGTTTTCACCGCTGTATTCGTTTACCGGTCGTGCACGTACGTTCTCCAATTCCTGGCGTGCATCTCTCAGTTGCTTTTCCAACCAAGCGTCATTCTGGACCACGTCCGCTTCTTGCTCTTTCATTTCGGTGAAATTCCATGTCCACTCTTTGACATCGGTCTCCCCTTGTTTGCGACAATCTTCCTGGTGATAATCCTCTTTCTTCAGCGTCTCCATTTTGTTGGCCATGTTGACCAGCTCATCCTGCAACTTTGACTTTTCTTTTTCCGCAAATACTTTCGCTCGCTTCGCTGTCTCGAGTTGCGCTGTCAACTGCTCAACTTGTCGCTTGTACTGACCTTGAATTTCTGCAATTATTTCCGCGAAAGGTCTCTCTTCCTTTCTGACATGGTTCTGCTCCATTACATGAGCCGCACCATCAGCCGGTTTGTCTGTCCAACCTGCAGACTCCGTTTCCACAACTCTGATGTATGGCCGGTATGTTGTACTATCTCCACGTACTCCACCAACGAATTCTTTTCCGTTCCGGCTTATCATCATCTTTCCGTTTGCATGGGCAAATGTAAATCCCTTCTGCTCCAATGCTATCGTTGACAACAATGTCGTCTTGCACGCGTCTGGTGAGTAATACACTTCTTCCCACACCATTGGTCTCCAACACTTGCCGTCCGTTGAGACTTCGACGTTGATACTTCCAACATGCGTCGCGCGTATGCGTTTACTGTTTCCCACGGTAAACTGCAATGGCACTTTCAACTTCTCCATTCTTGCAAACCATTGATCCTGGCTTGAGATATGGTGCGATGCACCACTATCTGCTATAATGCCTGGCATTTGACCGGAAGCATACAGAGCAGATACTATCAACGATTCCGCTGTGTTGTCAAACGCGTACCGGCGTACATGGCTGCGCGCTGTCGTCTCTTTACTCATCGGCTTCGACCAACAGTCTACGGCTTTGTGTCCGGGTATACCACACTTGTTGCACCTTCCATAAAACTCTGTTCTCACAGAATGGCTGCTTCTGGCATGGTATGACTCACCGACCTTCGTATCGCTTTCGCTTTGTCCCTTAATCGACTGTTCAGCCAAATGTAACTTCTCTCTGAACACCGACAACTTAGGATCCGCATCCGCCATCATATTCCATGATGCGATAAACGACCCGTACTTCGCAGGTAAGCTCGACAACGCTTTCGCAATGATCCACTCATCATTCGTCTTCGTCGACTTCCCGCACCCATCTATCTTTGCTGCTTGCACATGCAATGTCGCCATAAACGTATTCACGTCATCCGTCTCTTGCCACTTCACATTGAAAAACTCTGTCATAGCGGTCATCAGATCACTAGATCTTCGGCTCCCGCAGCTCTTTAATCCTGTCGAGAATTGCTTTCGACGTCTTACAGTCTCTCACTTGATTAAACGTTGCTACGTCAATCGTGGCACGGAGAATACTCCTGGCCTTGCCATCTCCGGCAATCCACTTCTTGTATAGCGCATGCTTCTTCTCATCTTCCGGAACATCCACAGGCATCGCTTGCGTTCCATCCACGATGGACCAAACGTCCTCTCCCGTCAGCACATCTTCGATCTGCACTCTCCATCGTGCATAATTCGAATCATCCAACACAGTTATCTTGATCCCTTTCATAGACATTCTACTGTGGACTGGATCCACCTGATCCCTACACTGTACGAATTCTACACAGCCAAAGGTCAAGACTAACTTCCTGCTTAGAGACAAGCAGGTCTCATAATCTGTTAAAATATATTGGATAATGTACTGACTACACGTATCCTATAACGAACCAACACACTTCCCGTCGTATTGTTCATTAGACTGATACACGATGTTCAAGTAATACATGTTACTGACAGGGCTTTAAGTACCACACAGGGTACGGTAAACACACTCACTGACACAGGACTTAGCCCGTATGTATCATCGGTTAGGGATCAGTGTACTGGGTGCATATGATCAGATATTAGGTTACACATACACAATGAGTAATCATAATATAAATCCTAACAGATCCTCTTCTCACTCGTATTTGTTGTAATCTTCCCTTTAAGGTTATCTAGTCCAGTTTGACGTATCGTGCATTTATATTTGTGGCTTGGAGAATCAGAGAATGGTACGCATCACTCTGTGGTTCGAGTTGGCTCAATGCTGCAAGTAAAAAATCGACATATCACCTGTTTAAATTTAGTGGATGGGGTTTCCGTTGTGCGCCCAATTACTGCTAGCAAATGTTACAGTATACGGAAGAAATTAATGTTCTTTTCAGTAAGTAGAAAGCCAACCCGGATCCTGATAATTAAAACGTCTTTTGGGTGGAATTCGTGATGACGATTACTGCTAGCAAATGTGGCAGTCTACTTTTCCGGTGATATTGTGCAGCGCTGTTTCGTGCTGGTTGAGCCCGGAGCCGCCTTCCGGTGCATCCGTTGTTGCGCTCATCTCTGACCACATATAAGAAAAAGAGCTGTCTTTTCGTGCCACAATTCCAATCGTCCCTATATGCAGGCCCGCACCGCTAATATATCTGAACTGACCGTAGTGCAAGAAATACCGCCATTTCGTAGTTTATTTTTGATACGCAGTACTGCACACACCAGAAAAATTAACTGCGATTTTTTTCGGTATCAAAAACAATGGTACCGGTGCATTAATTTCGGAAAGGCACACATGACACAACCAACGGTGCGAATGACGACATTGTTGCAGGCGTTATGCGCGTTGTCGATTGATTTTTCGAGCAACACTGCAGCAGACATGCAAATGAACTGTATGGGTCTGAATGGAACGCTCTCGCTTGTTGCACTCCAGGAACGCCCTCGCTGTTGTGCAAACTGTGTTAAATCTATGGAAATGGCTGACTGGCTGTAGGATCTAAATTTGTACACTTTTGAAAGATGGTTTTGAGC